GTGACAAGCCTGATTACGAACACCACAATTTACATTATGGAACTTTAAGAATAACATCCATAGATTCTTTACCAGGGATAATTAATAACGTCGTACTGGATAACATACTATACAGTTCTAGTTTCACTTTCATTCAGTTTGAATGAAGGTATTATGCAGTTCAAATAAAACAGGTATTCAACACTACTATGGTACGTTTCATATGTGTTTCAATCAAAAATAATGAAGGTTACAATAAGTTTACTATATGAAAAATCTCCATTTCGGTTCCACATAATACGGACTTTGTATGGTGACCTGTGGCACACAAACCTTCATTCAAGACTGGAAGATGGTATTCCCAGCATGGGAAAGAAAGGAGTGGTTGCACTTAGTACATTTACTTCCCCTTGAAAGCAAAGGCAGAGGAATCATAGTCCACAAGATACAGAAGTTACAATGTACAAGGCCTATTCTGTTACAATTCTTCCTCACAGGGAATAAATCCCAGAACAAAGAGGATCTCCCTTTTATAGAGAGAATACATGGTTCCTGAAACTTCCTTACTAAGTGCCACAAGAGGCATACAGTGCGGTAACTAATCTCTATTTGATGTCCTCTTAATACGTTTGTTTTTTCTACAAAATTATGGTTTTTATTGTTTCCTTTAGAATCACTATCTCGTAGTTTGCTTTTATATATTGATGACATCATAAATCTGGTGAATAAAGTTGTCAAAGTTTTTCCTTCCTTCAAATTTTTGGGGAAGTGGGCATTTTAATGTATATTAAAAATTTAAAATATTAAAAATGTAATGCTTCAGGCCAGATTCTGCAACTATTACTCAGACTGCACAAGAAGCACCTTACTAGGCGAGTAATTCCTCTGATTTAAAATTGGACTGTGTCTATAGTAAGATACTAGTTAATATGCATAAATTTAAGCATGTTTATGTAGTGCCATTGAAGTTAAATGTTTGCAAGATTGGGATCTCGATCTTTTGCTCCTGTGATGACTTTTTATTTATTTATCTTTAGAGGGGATTTTATAATTTACTTTTAGAGGGAAATTATCTGACACGCTATCTGCTATATACACAAGCATTTTTCGTTTCCATTATACATCAAGAACATATGCACTTTTTCCTCAGGTTCAGAAGAAAGTAGGAGGCAGACCAATTGAGAGTCTATGGGCAAAGATAAAAGGGGTAAAAAATAGGGGCAACATCATGGCAGAGGTCTACCATAGACCAACAAACCACGATAGGGGACGTAGATGATGCATTTCTCGAACAAACAACAGAAATACCCAAAAGACAAGAGCTGTTAGTTATTGGGGACTTTAACTACCCAGACATCTGTCGGAAAAGTAATATGGCAAAACAGAAAATTTCCAATAAGTTCTTGGAATGTGTTGGGGACAACTCTTTGCTCCAGAAAGTGGAGGAAGGAACCAGGGGACAGCCACTGTAGACTTGACTCTGACCAACAGAGAGGAACTGGTAGGAAATCTGATGGTGGAAGGCAATTTGGGTGAAAGTGATGATGAAATGATAGATTTCACAATTCTAAAGAAAGGAAGGAATGAGAGCAGCAGAATCAGGACAGTGAACTTCAAAAAAGTAGATTTTAACAAACTCCCAGAACTGGCAGGTAAAGTGCCATGGGAAAAAAATCTAAGGGAAAAAGAGTTCAGGAGAGCTGGCAGTTTCTCAAGAAGGCAATATTAAAGTAGGATGACCACATGTCCCGCTTTGGCCAGCACAGTCTCTTTTTTAAGCCCTGTCCCGGTCGTTCCGACTTTTTGACAAAACTGTGCATTTGTCCTGTGTGCTCTTGCCAGCTGATCATCAGTTGGCAACAGCAAACTGGACAAAAGCACAGTTTTGCCAAAAAAGTGGGGTGTGTCTGGGGGGAGGGCTCAGTTGGCCTTGGGCTGACCCTGCACAGGGTGGGGAGAGGAGGGCTTTAGGCCAGCCCTGGCACAAGGGCTTAGGCTCATCCTGTGTGCAGGGGGCAGAGGGGAACCGTGGACTGGCCCCAGACGGGTGTGTGTGGGGGGGGGGGTGGCGAGGGGGTTCAGGATGGCCCTGTGTGGTGTCACATTTTCCCTTTTGGAAAATATGGTTAGCCTATATTAAAGGTACAACAGCTACCTATCCCGATGCAAAGGAATGAAAGGAGAATAATAAGATGCTAACATATGGCTCTATCAGGAGCTCTTTAATGACATGAAAATCAAACAAAGAATCCTACAAAAAGTGGAAACATGGACAAATTGCTAAGGAAGAGTACAAAAGAACCACAGAAGCTATAGGAACAAAATCAGAAAGGCTACGGCACAAAATTAGTTACACTAGCAAGGGACATAAAAGGCAGTAAGAAAAGTTTCTTTAAATATATTAGGAACAAGAGAAAGATGAAGGAAAGGGTAGGTCCTCTTAGCAGGGAAGGAGAGTTAATAACTAATGACATCAAGAAAGCTGAGATGTTTAATATCTATTTTGCTTCACTCTTCACTAATATGGTTAATGGTGACCAGATATTCAACACTAGTATTAACAACAAGGGGGAAGCAATGCAAGCCAAAATAGGGAAAGATCCAGGTATTCTAGAATATTAAAGAATATTTGCATAAGTTAGATGTACTTAGGTCAGCAGGGCCTGATGAAATTCATCCTACAGTACTTAAGGAACTAGATAAAGCAATCTCTGACCCATTAACAATTATCTTTCAGAACTCATGAAGGATGGGTGAGGTCCCAGAAAGGTAAAAAGGGGAACAAAGAGGACCTGGCGAATTATAAACCAGTCAGCCTAATTTGGATACCTAAAAATGATTAAACAACCAGTTTGCATGCACCTGGAGGATAAAAGATTATAAGTAATAGCCAGCATGGATTTGTCAAGAACAAATAAACCCAATTTCCTTCTTTGACAGGGTTACCTGCCTAGTTGATAAGGGGCAAGTGGTAAACATTTAGTCTTGAATTTTTCACATCCCTGAACGACAGAGCTGGGCCAATCCTTTGTGTTTAGTGGAGACAAGCCCCTAGTGTCTAGCTAACCATTGATCTTTCAAGTTGCTGAACACCTTATAATTCCATTCAACAGAATATCAGGGCGAGCAGAGTGTGAGCGTGTTTCAAAAAGTCACTACAGATGTTCTATACTAGGTTAATGGAGCCAAGATGTACTGTATTTGTGCTTATGTGAGCCACTGCAAACCAAAAATTGAAAAACCACTGCACGGACATCTGCATTTCACAAGCTACAAACCGCCCTCCACACCAAAGCCAACAAGAAATAGACCAAATTATTACAGATTTCAAGAGACCAAACTATTGTGTGCCACAAGCAGAGAACAGGAAGGATTGATGTCCTAGACCCCTGCAATGACTGGGAATTGATTTCAGTAAAATATATCCAGATGATCCTACCAAATGATCCATGTCCCCCATGCTGCAGAGGAAAATACTCAGTAGAATTTCCCCAAGTCATTATTTAAAAAGGTTGTATTCTACTACTTTGATTACAGAAACCATGCAATGAGAGTCCACAAGAAAATGCAGTGTCAAAATTCTTCAACACCTGAAAAGATTAAAGACAAACAAGTATGGAGCACAATTTTAGATTTCCCACAACAAATACTTACTTTTGTTCCCTCGTTCACTTATTTTCTGTTAGAAACCTCAGGCAAGTTTGAGAGGCAAATGAGAGATGCTAGTTGATAACTTTTGAAAACAAGGCCAATCATTTTAGTGCCTAAATATGGACTTAGAATTTTAAATTTAAACACTGTGTTTGGCAAATCTTGGCCTTAGAAAGTATTTAATATTACTATCTCTTACACAGATCACCTTTTACAAGCTTTCAAGCAGTGAAATGAACTTCCCTACTACTGTATTCTTTGTTTAGAGCCATCCAAAAAAACAAACCTAATTTCGACTAAAAATCCATCATCCCCTTTTCAACACAATCATAATTATACATTGAAGTGCATAAAATGGTGAGAAGCAAGCTCTCTACTTTTGCAGTCAGAGAAAAGACTAACCAGTTAGGAAAAACAAATTTCTAGTTCACATTTTAGATGCAAATGTGAGACAGTATCTTCTGACAGACTAGAAGTGTATCCTTTGACTACTTATTACCTAGCACAATGGGATCCTGGTCCATGACTAGGGCTCCTCAGCATTCTGGTAATATAAGTAAATAAATGATAATTTAGTGACCCATATCCTGCAATCAACGCTTGACGGAGTAAGGTCTGAATAGGGACTGCAAGTCTGCCTCTATGCACCTGAACCTATGAGGAAGGCTGTGTGTCTGTCGTGTAGGTCTCCAGCAGCAGCAACAGTTTGGGCATGGGAGGGGGCTCAGGACTGGGGCAGGGTGTTGGGGTGTGGGGTAGCATTTACCTTGGGTGGGGGAGCTCTCCGGCTCCCACCAGCATATCCCTGCAGCTCCTAGGCGGAGGCGCCAGGGGGCTCTGCATGCTGCCCGCGTCCGCAAGCACCGCCCCCAGAGCTCCCATTGGCTGCAGTTCCTGGCCAATGAGAGCTGCGGAATCTGCGCTTGTGGTGGGAGCAGCACGCGGAGCTCCTCCGCCTAGGAGCTTCAGGGACGTGCTACTATATAATTGTATTACCGTCACACACAATTGTGTATTAAACCCAAATTGCCAAATTAAATTTACTTCATCTCAAATAAGTCAAGACAAAAAACAAGTGTTCACTAAAGGCAAGCTCTCTAGACTTTAAATCAAAAGCACTTCCCATAATGGATTCAACACTGTATAGCAATGTGTCAAAGTTCTCAGGTCCCAAGTCTTTGGCGTAACTAGTTTCTTACCTCTAAAAACTCAATGTTAATTGAGCTACCCCATAATATGTTTTTTTAATACACTTGATTAAAAGTATTTTGTCAACATTTGTTAAATGCTCCAATGACAATTTTCATACAAGTATATTCTTTGTTGAGCAGCACACTTGAAGCAAAAAATGGAAGAGAAAGGTTATTTACCTTTAGCGTCATTCACCTTCCCAGATTAATCTATCATTCTTCAGACCTCTCTCTCGCTCACTCACTCTCTAAGAGAAAACATAAAACAAAGATAATTTTATCTTTCATGTTCTCCTTTAAACAATTTGGCTGATTAAGAGAGATTTCTTACACAGCAAGTACCTTTTAAAAAGGTCACTTTATATATATGAAGAAATAAAATGAAGAAGAAATAAAGCACTTCTATAGATATGTCTGAAAGTATCTGAAAAGAGAGAGAAAGAACAGGAGATGGGAATAAGAACTTTCATTTTATATTCCTGCATTTACCACAGGCTGTAAGCAGTACTGGTTCAAGCAGTTAAATTCAGGTACACACTAGCTTCAGCCCTCCAAGATACACAAGCATTCTGAAAACATTCCTACGTACACCTATGGCTTTTTGCACAGCAGTCAAACTAATTACTTCTACTTGTAATTGACTGAAGCGTTCTTGTTATTTATGACTAACAATGTTTTGCATTTCCAATTTACTGAGAAGTTGTATAAATAACCAGGGTTAGCTGATCTTTAACTAGACCAACAACTTACAACACTTTAATGCAAGTGTCAACATACAGGTAGTTTTCCCATTCAATGTAATGTTTAAGAAGTATCCAAGAAAGGTTTTCATAATACAAAAATAAAATGGCATCGGGGAAATGTGTTAGTTCTCATTGCACAAATTACCATAGTTTATAGATATACACTGATATTTGTTGCATGACAACACTGTAGAGGTAGGTCAAACTCAGACTTGGAAAGATAGAATGAGATAAGCTGCACTTGTTTTATGAACTGTCATTCAATTTTATTAGTACTTGCTGCCTCTGCTTGGCCATAGATTGGAGAAAAATGCCACACAGTGTAAGTGCCACTTCGTTGGTATGCCCTTTCCCCTTGTACTCGCCAACTACATCTAAATCCTGCTGTTACCGAGGCCAGAAGTAGTGAATATTATTATTAATGGGCTGCTGAGAAGAGATTTGCAGAGGCTATATGGGACTTATTTCCTAAATCTGCTTATATGGCCTCAATCCTGCCCCCAATTGGATACCCATTACAGTACATTTCTACTCCAAATATTTACATTTACAAGTTATATCTTAATATTCTCCCCAAAAATCAAGATATAGCTATTTAATTTTAGAAATCTTCTCAACTTATAAAAGGAGAGAAAAAAATCACTTATGGCTCCTACAACCAACGCATATTATAGCCACCCTTAACTCATTTTGTTAATCTCATTTCTTTGAGAAATATTTTCCAAATAAAAACCTTTAATTTTCAATGTAGAAATGTCTTAACTCAGCTCTTCTCCTCCTACTCTGACAGTCCAAATTAATTTTGGATTTTTTAGTCAGTTCTCTTTGACCTATTCTTCAGAACCTACTGGGACTGTATTTCCTTAATCACGTTTGCTTCTCTTTTTGTACAATAGTAGGCATTACTATTAGCCAGAAATTCAGCTCCATCTCATCTTCAGATTGTTTTCCCTGAGTTTCTTTTCTCAGCGCAAGAGTGGAGGATCTTTTTACTTTCTTCACTGAGAATAAAACTTTATTGTAGAAGGTCAAATCCTTATGTCTGTTTCTAAACTCTTTACTGAATTACTCACTCAGATCCTGCTTTAGCCATAATGCCAGAGAACATAGGTCCTAATAAATTTGTGGCCTTATATTTATCCTTTTATTTCTTTTCTTTCCTCATCACTGCATCTTTATTTTTTTTAAATTAGTGTAATCTGGCAATAATATCCCTAAGCGGCTGCCAACACTAGCTGAGGAAAAGAGAAAGTGTGCCTTATTACTGAAACCTCACTCTTGAAATGCAGATTCAACAGATCTTTTCCTACACAGTGAACGCCTTCTCTTGAGGTTTCCTGACCCACCCTTTTATCATTGCATCTTTCATGAGTCTCAATTTTCTTACCATATCTTCTCTCCCCTCCCTTTATTTCCCCCACCCATACTTGGTTTTATTTGCCAAATACAGTTATCAGCGTCTGTGTCCAAAGAACTCACTTTTTCTTTTTCTGGTACATTTTTCATCAGTTAACTTAGTATGTCTGTTCGTTGGCCCTTAAGCCCCATTAGCAACTGTGAATTTTTGTTCATGACACGCTTTTCCTTTTCAGCATTAACAGTCTTTTGTGTCATATACTTCACTAGTCCTTCAGATAAAGGCCATCCTCCTCCTATTACAGGCTCCGCTTTTCTTGCCTAAATACTGTTTCATGCTTTTAGGGAAGGTCATTGAATATCTGTAGATTTTAATGGAGTGCATAAGCACGGGATGGGAGCCAGATGGAGGTGGGCTTTACATCTGCCCTCTTGAAGCCACTTTTCTCGGCTTCCACACTTAGGTGATCTTGCTTTCCCCAAAATGGACTCTTGTTTACTGACATGAGTACACTAAATTAAGTTTTATCTTTAGGAAGCCTTGCCTATCATCAGAAAACTGGTTTATTTGTGAAAGGGACTGTGTCCTCCACAACAAATTCAATTTCTGTTGCTTGCTATAAAAGCCAACAAAAAGAGGCATAATAACAGCCCCAAAACTCGCATGCAAATGCCAACTATTCCCTAATGCAGGGAGCTGTCAATGTGAAACCATTACAATAAACCCTTTCAGAGTCTTGCGGATGAATGATACAACTGGAACTTCAGGATTTTGGATTCCTCCCACTTCTAACCCACAACACCCAACAGCAAGCCCATTTTCTCTTGGCAGCAATAAAGTATAAAATACTACATCATACTAAAATTAAAATAGAAAGTAGAACCAAGTGAATACAAAAAATAGCAACAGCACACATTTGCTTCCTGGACTTGAAATGGAAATCAAGTTAATTACCATAATTATGGTAAAGCCAATTTATTCAGAAATGCCACAAAGAACATCAGTACCAAAGTGCTTCTTTATAATGCATTAACATTGGCGTTTTGTTAAAAAGGTAATTTTAGTGCTCATGAATGGTGTCAGGGTGAAAGGATTTGACAATGAAATAGACTCTTTGGTTCTTGTGCCAGAACAGCATAGACAGCAACAGTGTGAGCTCCTCCTTTGGTAGCCATCCATTGAATCCAATTCCAACCTAGAGAAATGAGGATAGTTCCATTTCCACGACCACTCAATTCTCAGTTCCTCCCTTCTGTCAGCCAGCCATTTAATGCCAAATGTGCTGTTAAGTTTGTATAACACAGACATTATCCCACTAGGAAATTGATGGACCAGATAGGCTCATGTTTCAAACAATGTTAAATGCAAAACTGAAGACTCAAAAAAAAAAAAAGTCACTAAACTTTACATTGTAACAAATGCCATTAATTTATTTTTACTGGGCAAAAATTGAAAGCCACTAACCTTAGTTATACTATTACTGTAAGGGATATGTAGGCTTGTAACACTAATCTTAAAACTCCATATTTACTTTGCATCATGTACGTGCTGGGGGTTGTTAATTAAAAGCAAATGGTTTATCTTAAGAAAGAATCTTTTATGCACAATGATAAGATTTTAAAAACTGAATCTCAAAGAAGGAACTAAACACTGAAGTTTGGCTCAGGTACCATACTTCCCCAACATTAGACAGTGTTTGAATCATGGTTTTGAAATGAGTACATCCCTTTTAAAATGTCTTGGACTATAAATGTCTCCATATAGATAAAAGCCAATGCATAAATGAGATTTTCCCAACATTTCATAAACTAACTCTGATAAAACCCAGAGGAAAGTTGAAGTCTAAAGCTGCATAAGAAAATATGGTGCCTCTCTCTTCACAGATTTTCCAAAGCTCATGCCACTTGCACAAATTTATTAGGAAACAGAAGAACTAAAAGGTATAACTCAATATTAAATTCTGCGTCAAAACAGTGTCAAAACAGAGAGTGCAAAGACTCCCCTACATAGCTACCCCATCAGTCCACTTCACTTCCTTAAAGGGATTCAGTGGTGCATAGAGATTTCCACATGGGTGAATTTCACCTTTATTTTTGTATAATCACAGATCATACTCCCGTAACTCAGCAACAATTATCCTTGACCTGGCACTTTCAGTTCCATTTCCAGCAACACAAAGTGCCAGATTGCAGGAGCAACCTTGAGAACAAATAGAATATATTCATTCACTTCAGATCTTAATTCTCCTTGAGGCATAGCCAAAGAAAGCATACACATTTACATTTTAAAACCTTATTACCATATTCTGTAACATAACCTCTA